ACATGGTACTTTTTAAATATGGTTACACTTTCACGTGGTACTCTCGAAACAATAATTAATTGGCACTAAAGTCTTATATGTGTACTTTCCACTATAAACTATCATTTCCCAAAATTTTGCACCGTTCCAAATTGATCGATTTATTAGGTTAGTCAAATTTTCGCTTTTTTTTGAATCAATCAAATTAAATGATCACAGATCGTTATCATTTTCCAAATTAGTAGCTCTATGCTAAACATCAGTAGTGAAAGTTGGGGCAAGTTTGCTGTTGGTCTACAGGTTGCTTGACCTCCTTTCTAATGCTGGCTTTGCTAGACTGTTACCTTGCTTTCTTCAGCTAGCTGTTGAAAGGTTAACTCAGCGTCATCCATATACACAGTTAGTGTTACAATAGTTTCTTTATCTTCGTTAATTAAGTTTAAAGTGTTCATCTTCCTTAATTAAATTTAAGTCTAATTAAGTTCAGAAGACTCTTGGAATCGTTGACTGTAACAAATTGTAGAGAGATTATTGCGAATCATATAAGCCAAGAGAAATTAACTCCTTAAATAAGGATCAAATAACTTGAATCATCCATGCTTGAATAGCTTCCTTTAAATGTTCTTCACCTATTTTCTTATCATCACCAGAATACCTAAACACTGAACACTCAATATATGTGATAAAATAAGGTTTAATTCGAAAAAATTTGAAATATGATAATTTATAATGTTAAGTAACTAATGCAAAATGATGGTTTATTTGAAAATACACGAAGTATAATTAGTTTAAGTATTTAATAACATTTTGTACTTCTTTTCGCTGTTGCTTCTTTCATGTCAACTTTGCCCAAATTGTAAATCTTCCCTTGATAACTTTTGGGAACATTAAATCGATCAGTGTGAGTACATCTCTGTAAAAGATCAAATATTGGGGTGAAATTGGACAAATGGATGAAATTTTAATTTCAATAATTTTTTGCAAAATCATTTGAAATGTTGCAGCACTTAGTTAGAACAACATTTTTACTGGAATACTCAAAAGCTTTTACTGGAACACTCAAAATCGAATATCTGTTTCGAATTTAAAATATCCAATCTTTGAATATAATTTAAATATTTTAGAAATAAAAATAATTGAAAGCAACAAGTGAAAATATTTCATGCTAAAGTAAATTAAATGCATTAGTCCATTTATCTATGATTAAATGCAAAATCACGTCTACAATCGCTGTCATTGATAAGGAAACAGTTGTTTCCTTTTTCTTCTTTTTTTTTTTTTTTTTTTGTGGTTGTAAACATTTCCGAATCTAATTAATTCAACGGTATGACAATTTTTTTTTTTGAAAACAAAGACTGGAAAATAGAAGGCTTTTTAAAAGGTAGAAAAAAAAAATTGAAGTGTGTTCAAATTTCATAAAATAAAAACGAAAGGAAATTTTGGAATTTGTTGAAATTTCATTAAAAAGTTAAATCTAATAGTATCATCTGAAGAAATCATTAGGGAGAATATGAAAACAATGAATCGGAAGTTATTGAATCACCTTTACTTCTCTCTGAATATGTTAAATTTTGAAATTTATTTTCTATTTTGCATAGCAAACTTACCACATCATGATTACCATTAATACAATTATGTTTTATCAGAAGATACGGTTCAATGTTACGGATTTCTCGTGTTGCTCCGAATAATTTGAAATTTCCTCCATTATCGGTATGCATCGAATCCAATTTATCATCGAAATTAACTAAGTAGCAATTAATTAGCAGAAAAAAAAAAGATAGTTCTTACTCGTTAGTGAAAGTAAATTTTTAAAAAATTTTTACTTAAATTCTGCAAAAAGTAGTTTTTTTTTGCATCAAAAAATTTGAAAATATTTAATACAATTTATTAGACCTTACATAAATCATCATCCCATAATTCCACCGTAACATCTTTATATGGTGATCCACCACATTCTAAATGACCTATTACGGTAACATTCTTTTTGCTACCAAATAATCCAAATGTATAGATTGGTAGTAAGAAGTGCAATAAGAGTTGCATCGATTTATCTCAATTCTGAAAATGTAAAAAAAAAAGAAAAAGTTATTTTGATCAGTAAACAGATAAAATTAATTCGACAACAATACACTTTTAACATTTTCACATTTATCAAATTTTCATTATCAATAAAACAAATATTAACATCAAATTGGATAAATTCAATTAGTAAGATGACGACGAAACTACGAATACCATAATTACGCATAAGAAAAAAAATTTATTTTAATTAACAAATGACTAATAGCATGCATAACTGTTAACATTTTTCTTCATTTCCCTTCAATAAATAACATTTTTTCTTTTTCCATTTCTTCTCAAAATATAAATATACAAAAAAAGATTTTTTTTTTACAATATTATAACTTCAATTGTTAATTGTTAATGATTTCACTGTAAACTTATCACATTGTTTAATTAATGATAAACATATCACCAAATGAAACAGATGAAATGGAAAAAATCGGAAAAGTTAAAATTGAAAATTTTTAAGCATTACACAAAAGCATTGGTACAGGCAACTGACTCTTTGCAAGCAACTTAATGATAATATTGATGATTATGATGATGAAAGAGATGATAACATTGAAAGCTGATATGAATCATCTTTTTATACTTCAATTTATCCTCTGGTTTTTTCTTCACTTTTTTTTTCCAATTCTTCCTTTTTAAAATTTGACCTAACAATTTACCGATCGATTAATCGATGTTAGAATTTTTAAATGTACCAAAAATTGTTAGATTTGTATTTGCAGATAAATTTGAAACCTATCCTTTCTAATTAATTAATTATATACACATAGATGTAAATTACCTTTCCGATATATTACAAACTAATGTTTCCCTTTTACATTTTTCATTTCATTACGAACGGATTTTGTTTGGATGTGAAAAGAATCGTTCCAATTTTGTTATTATTCGAAATGTAAAATGATATTATAACCTGTTTAAGAATGTCGAATTTATATAAAGTTAACATTTCCTTTAACAAATATTATATCTAATTATTGGATTGTTCTTCCCAGGATTTCTTATTACATCAAAGCACTTTTATTAAAAAATTGGAAATTATATTTTCCAAAGAGAATATTAATACGCTAGTATAAACATGATTTATTATGCATGTTTACTTCAGAAATATGTGTTTAGCAAAAGTTGTTTTTATTTAATTAGTAACAATATGAGTTAATGAGTTATGTTCGAAATTAAAAATCAGAATTAAACACTTAAATCATGTTTGTCGAAGTGTTTGTCGTAAGTGATTTTTTCAAAAAAAAAATTCATTAATTTTTTTAACTTTTGTTATAATGCTATTATTGCTCTTATAGCTAATAATTTTATAAAATATTTTCTTAAATAGCCTAATGATGATGCAGCAAGTGATTATAATGATAAGTAGTAGGAGTATTGTAACAGGAATGATAATATCAAGCATTGTAATATGACATAAATGACATCTTTTTGCCGTTTGGATCGAAATTTGCTATTTGACCAAATTCTGCAGCAACATGGAACATGCTTAATAAGCTGTTCCTTGGCTGGATTAGGCTTCTTTACCATCATTTCTGATAATCTTTTTGCTTTTTGAGAATGACTAAAATATGTAAATAAAATAAACAAATTTATTGCTGTATGCTTTTTTTTTCATGTAAATTATAAGTAAGTCAAAAGATAAGCTATTAATAATTTAATGGTAATAGTGATAATGATCTGATATGGAAGAAATAAATAATCAGCCATTATCTCCCAAGTCCTATTTTAGTTTCTCGAATTGATACATCTATATTTCGGAATATTTTTTAATATTGATTGAAGTAATTTTCCTCTTTGTTTTCTTGTTTTTCCTGATTTTCCCACTTTTTTCCTTATTCATTATCCTTTTTTTTCGTTTTTTGTTTTGTCATTTTTTTCTTCTTATCCGATCATTTCTATTTGTTTTATTTGTTCGATTAAGAAAATAAATTTTAAAAAAATCCAAAATATGTATTAATCATCATAAGTTGCTAGATTTTAAACTCATGAGGTTTAAAAAAAAACGACATTTGATTTTATTTGGTTTAAACAAATCTCTTAATAATATTTATTTTTAATTACAACGTTTATCTCACAATTGTAAATGTCCTTTTCATGATGGAAATGAGAAATTGATCAAAGTTTACCTTTTATCATAAATAATGCTATTGATTACATCCTGTGTGTTTTTTTTATTGCTAATTCTAAAAGTGATAATTTGATACCAAAGTCTGAATCGTTCAACCAGTACAGCATTTTGCATCTAATCACCAAATAACGGTATCACAATAACAGGTTTTCCATAATTCAAAATTTCCGTTATGCTATTCATATCATCATACGTCAGAAATGCTATTAAATTTGTATGTGTTGGACTTTTTTTTTAATTTTAATTCAATAAATTTATTTTCCTGACGAATTTTTTGTTTTTTGCATAAAATTGCCTAATAAATCAAATTGCAAAAGCCATTTTGATGTAATCACATTTAGATGTCTGTCAGTAATTTGATTTTCATCTTTTTCATATTTTCAGATAAATGTCACATTTTGAAAGCTATCGAATATTTCCAGGAATGCTTGCTTAGGTTTTATTGAGCATCTAATAGCTCAATGTAATGATATCGAATGATACAAGTACTGTCGCTTTCCGTTGATTCATTAATGTAAGCCAATCTTGCAAAGCCGAAAGATGGATGGATGAAAATATTAGCTTAGTTAAAAAATGTAATTTACAAGTCTTAATAAGATAAGAGGAAGGAGAAAGTATAATGTATTATTACGATAATTGGCCAAATGATTTTTGGCTTTCATATATTAGTTAAATCAAATCCATACTTTAGATAATTTGACAGCAATCGATAATGCTATCTTTAAGTATTAGAGGGGTTATTTAAATCATTAAAAGTTGTGTAGCAGTTTTTTTCTGCTTAATTATCTTCTTGCAATGATAAAATATAGATTTAACATACTTTATTTAATGATTTCAGTTTTGGTAAAGCATGTTCATCAAGTTTCAACATTTTATGAATAGCTTGGTCTTGAGGTATGTAAAAGTGGATTAGTATTTATGAGCACATACATTACTTGAATTAATTTTTCCTAAAACAATGATATTCAATTCTAAATTCATGAAAATCCCATTAACCGTATTTCAAAATCAATCAATTCGCATCTTTTTTTTGCCACGAAAGTGATAAGTTGGAATTAATGACAAAATTTGCCAAATTTTTGATCATACAATGAAATTTGGTCGAAAAGAAAAATCTTTGCCTATATTTATTCATAATTATTTGTTTCTTTTGTCAATTCTTAATTTATCAGACGTTAATTTATTAGATGTATTTTATCACTCCACTTCGCATAAAAGTAACTTGATTTTTCCAATCATTAACTTCTGAACCATTCATCTTTATCACTGATTAGAAGAAAACAAGTGCAATTCATTGTAATTAGCAATCCACCAAATCTCTTTTTTTTTCAAAATTTAATTTTGATGCTATATTATACCTTTAAATCGATGAACTGATTGCCATAAAATTGTCGGAATAACGTTTGACATTTTGCTGTAATATTATCCAATAATTTATTCGTTAAAATTGTCACAATGAGATTTTCCACCCGTTGTAAATATGTCATATGATCGGTATATTGTGTAAGCAAATCTGTAAATATTTTTAATTTCACTTTCTTCTCATAGTTGAAGGAAAATAATAAAGTGAAAAATATTTCAAGTGTGGAGAAATAACGTAGAAAAAAAACTATAATAAATGACTTTTTAAAATAAGAAATGATAATTTGATTGATTAAATAGTAATTCAATTTTTTAATAGGTTT